CAGGCTTGACGCAGTCCAGACCAGTTTTGATCCCTGACTGGACTGGCTCAGATCCCAAGGGAGAGCCTGTGGGAAGGTGCATCAGAGGCATAAGGTTCCCCTCCAGGGAGAAGGCACGACACTGCTCCGTGCATCCCAAGGGACCACCATCACCATTAGCATAGCTGCAAACGGTCATCCTCAGGCAGACTGTGCTGCAGGGATACCTCATAGTCTGGGCAAAATCTTCTTACTGTCCTAGCTAATGTTGTTAGGTAGGTATGGTGTTAACGCAATGTTTTCAGACCCCCATGGGTTCTCATTGAAACACGGCACAGGCCTCAGAACTCCTCTTAAAAGAATCCCTAACCTCATTCATCCACGTCAATATTCTGCTCAGTGCGGCTTTTCTTACAGAATGAAGAGGATGAGGACCAGCCTCTCAGCCTGGCCTGGCCTGACACCCCACGCAAGCAGCTCACCTATCTTCTTGTACTACCCATTGTTTTTCCACTGTGGGCTTCCCTCCCAGATGTCAGAAAACCCGTAAGTAACTGTTGTTGCCAGTCGGTGTGATCTGCACAACAGGGCGGCTCTCTAGCTAAATGCCAAAAAGGGGCTGTAGTGGATCTATGTGAAAATAGACCTAATGATTTTTTTTAATAGTTCCTTCTTTGAAGAAGAGGTCACAACATCAGTCTTCAAATCTTCAGATGGGTGCTTATGGGCACGTGGCTGATAATAGCTCTATAAAGATTGTCATTTGTGTTCACTAGTATTTTATGACACAAAGTGAAAGCTCTTAAAACTTCTTTGGGGCCTTCACATCTGCATTTCCAGATCTCCACTGACTATCACATAAGTGCTGATGATGTCTGTTCATATACAGTGCCCTAAAGGGTACAACTGGGGAGATGTTAGACTGTCTAAATTTTTTCCATGGTTCAAAGATAATGATACATGTTTCTCTTAAATTAATGTTTTACTAGACCTTTGTCTTCTACTCATCAGCTTTCAATTTTCATACTAGAACAAGATTCATAAGTCCTTCCTGTAAGTAAAATTCCTATAAGTAAAGTACTTGCTAGTTTTATCCCAAACACAGCTTGAAGCAATGTAAGACTGATTATTAATACAAATTACTTATTGTGACAAGTTATCAAGTCTTACTGTTTTTATATTCACATATACAAATAGACCTGACTGGAGAGGCTCACAGAAAGTAAAAGAAAAAAAGTGAGGAGCTGAAGAGATCCTTTAGTAGTGTTTTAATCTCTTTTCCCTTCTGGATCAAAAATAGATTTAAAACTGCTGCAAGAGAGGGACGCAGTTTATAAGGTTATAAATCAACACCCTGAATTCTTTTTTCCTCCTCACACACACTGAAAAACTGCCATTCAGTGCAAGAAGCAAGCTAAAATAAGACCTCTGATTTGTTTTTAGATAAAGGTTTCTCAAAGGATATAAACTGACATTTTCCCTTCCAATCTTTAAGCTTTCTTTTTTTAAAGTTTTCAAACAACTCTGGTAAACAGTTTTTGTTCAGTAACACAGAGAGCATACTACATGAATTTCAAGATTGTTTATTTCTGTATTTATGCCCTCCTTTTATCATTCAAAACCATTCCTGTAATTTTTTTTTCATAATTTGCCCCCAAATGAACAAGTCCTGCTAAGAAATAGGTATGTGAATTTTTTTGAATTTTGAAAATCTGAAGTTAACATCAATAGACACATAGGTTATCCGCTATTCTGTACTGTAGAAATGAGAACAATTGTTACAATAATGGTTTTGGAAAGCCAATATCTCAAGAGGTTACCTGCAACTGTGTGATGCATGCGATTATTAACACTAGTATTGTTCACAACAGAACTGGCATGCTGACATCCTACAGCTAAGATACCCTGCCATAACACAGAAGATAAGCACCGTTCTATATGCCAGATACATCAAGGAGCAAAAGAGTTCTAAAATTTCATTTACAGAAGTAAAAGGAATGTAGTTTGTAATTACATGTAGTAATAACAGAAGAGGTAACAGGCTGTATCAGTATGACAAGCTGCTTACTGTGAACACTGCTGTCAAAGAGTTAACGAGGTGGTTGCATAAACTGTCTAACTTTTCAAGGATGCTTCATTAATGTGTTTGTCTCTAAAATATTCTCACTTATGCCTGTGCGCCATCCCCTCTATTCCCTTCCTAACAAAAACAAGTCCAAATATCACAGCTCAGCATGGGCATCAGAAAACAACTTTCCATGAAATCTGTGAGGCAAAAGTTAAAACAAACCTAAAATAACTTAAATAGATAGACCTACCATCAGGGGCTTGATTTGCTAGTGTGGTAATTTTAGTCAGAAACCCCAATTCTGTATCAGGATGCTCACATTAGCATGTGGATATATAAAATGAACACTTCTGTGCTATATACTGATTTGAGAGACCATATGGAGCCTTTGCCATCCTCTGTGGGTGTCCACTTTTCAAAAATGTGTTCTACTTTCCTCCTAGAGTCTCTTTTCTAAAGTATAGAATCTCTATATTTATAATATATTAATAGTATATTTAATCTCTACATAATGGAGACAGTTTGGCTGCATTTACTAGTACTATACCAAGCTATATTTAGCTCTATGAGACCCAGAAGCTCTAGAAAAATTATTTCATATACAAGGTCTCTGGTTATAAAGTTAGCAAAATCCTTGTTGCCTTATTATGCTCTGGTGTACACATATGCAGATTTTTATATATCTCTCAGTTGATTCAATAGCCGACATGTTTTAATGTGTGTTTAGTGCCTTAGTAATACCTGCTCATGTTAAGCCAGTATATATTAAAATCCTTACTATAACATCAATAGTGTTGCTGGCAGTACACCACAGATATGTGTGCCCTGGTGAATTTTGTCCCTGACTTTTTGTTCAGGTGTTTTGAACAATAATGGCTATTTTTCCTGTACTAAGAGCTTATTTCCGCAGTGGCTCTGTGAAGGCCACAAACATAACTGTCCACTCCCTGCAGTAAGGGATATTGAAAGACTGAAAGGAAAATGACGTGACCAAGGTGGCCCAATGGGTCAGTGGCAGACATTGAACACCATCTCTTTTGTAATACCCATAACTGCACTCTCCATCTCTTTGTATTACCGGCCAGAAAAATGGCTGTCAGGGCTCCAGTCCTGCTGTCACTGGACCCATATGGGGCAGTGCATTGTATCTCTGCAAATTCCCATTACCAACAAAGAGGTACAACTTACATGAACTCTTGTTGCGATACAGAAATGCACTGTTACCAAGGGGACAAGGACAAGATGTTCCTGCATAGATCCAGTTACAGGAGCAGGTTCTGAGTAATCAGATTTAAGCACTGTCAAGTATGAAAGGAAAATCAAAGCTTGCAATGCAGATAGATTTATGTGCAAGAAAAGCATGTGATTCATTCAGGTTAAAAGTAAAATAAAGATGTTGCTAATAATACTCGCTAAAATTAAGACAGTTACTTTGCAAATTATTAAGCACTTACTATCTTTCAGGATCAGGCTATTAGAAGAAAAACCTTCATACTTGGCTCATTCTTTCTACTTAAAGTTCTGTTTTTCAGACACTGGCATGAAATCAATACTGAAGTGTACCAAGAAACGTGTTGAGATTGCTTGTAGACAGGAACAGTACCAATCCAACCAATCTACAGTGAAACTACAAAATTATTTCTCTTTTGTTAAAAGGAAATAGCATATGAACTGAATAAGCCATGGATTTTCTTATTTGTCTGTTACTATGACCACAAAATAACCAATTGGTAATAAACTGGGCTTTCTGTCTTTACAAGGCAACCATCACAACAACTACCAGAAAAGGTGGAGAGAAGGATTGCTGTCTACTCTATCTGACTAATTCTTCTGGGAAAATGCTTGGAATTGGCAGCTCTCTATATTTCCAAGAGCTAGGGAGTTGCAATGAGATAAATCTCAAAAGAATGCTGTCAGTAATTACAAAATAAGTATGATTATCATTATATTCTGGAAATAAAATCCAGCACCTGAAAAAGAATCAGCAGTGTCATTACTGCTTTTTAAAAATTTCATCTATATGCAAATTATATAGCAGCATCTATGGAGTCCATTCTTGATTTCATCACCTGTAGTATGTCCAACCTTTGAATTTTGTCCTTTTTGAGTTTAAATGTTCCCCCTTTTAAAATAGGTAATTAAACTATTAAGCCTATTAAAGTACTTTTAGTGTTGAACTGCTGCTTATCAGTTCATTTCACTAGGAGAGTATTGGCTAAGACAGGCTACGAATACACATGCTGCAAAGTTACTGAGTCGTAATTCTTAGCCATCTGAATTCTGTGGGTCTCAGATAGGCAATGTCTCGTTATTTTGCAAGGACCATTTGGTATATATATAATCACATTGACAGAGAGCTATTACTGGCCAGTACAGCTCCTGCTGTATTAGTTTTGCATAAGCCAATGTATGCTTATATCTTGAGTGTTGCATAGTGATTATTCAAATTGCATTGCTATGAGGTGCTCTGTGTGGATTTTGTGACCAGCTGCAACAAGCTTATCGCTTCATCATCTCATTCACTGTATATGTTGCCAGAAAATCCCAGTTTTTACAAGGAAGACAAAAGATTTTTGAAAGTTGGAAGAGTTGGCTACTAAGAATGGTGAAAAAGAATAGTGCTAGCTATTTATTTCAACAAAAGGAAATTGCTATTTAGATTCATTCATCCCTTCAGGGCTCGATTCTGCTTCCACTGGTGTCAGATCACTATTTTAACGGCCATCTTTGTGTTCCTTTCAAACTGTGTTCCTTTTCAGACTAAGGTCTGTCACCTCAGCGCATGCAAAGTTTTGATTTTATAATTAAAAGTCCAATCAGAGTAGGTTTAAACGTCGGAAGATCATTATCAGATTTTCTGATTTGATAAAAATTTAGAATTCTGTTCTGAAAAAGTAACTCTCTTTACTTGGTAAGGAGTTAAGAAGCAGTTAAGAAGCAAATCAACCAAAGTACCCTGGGCAGTTCTAGAAACGCTGTTTGTGACAGTAATGGAATTTATATGAAAAGGATGTTTCCAGGTGCCATTGTGGCTATTTATGTCTATATTTAAAGTTAATTCATTTAAAACACCTACCGGAATGATTTTCTTACTCCAGAAGAAGTTCAGTTATTTATTTATATACAAAGGAGCGTCGTTAAATCTGTACCATCTTTAATATGTGTTCCTATGTATTTTCAGTTGTGGAGTTGTATAGGTCGTGTTAGCTCATGTTTACGAGCTCAGTTTTTGGGACGCCGTTTAGCGTTGTGCAAAGTTCCCACAGGGAGTGAGTAAGTGTTCTGTAGCACAGCCTACAGCTGCACCTGCTGCTGGGCAGGTCTGAACCTTTTAATTGTCCCATCCTGTAGATGAGTCTGCACAATGGCCATTGCTGACTTTACCTTTTTCTCATCAGTAATGGCCTGATCTCATTCCATTTACATCA